AAGGAGTACCAATTCTTAAGTGACTTATAACAAGGAGCACTTATCCTTAGGTGACTTACAACAAGGAGCACCTACCCTTAAGTGACTTACAATAATGAGCACTTATCCTTAGGTGACTTACAACAAGGAGCACTTATCTTTTCAATCAAGTTTTCACAAGGCTCTCGAAACCATAAAAATGTAAGTGATAATTTTACAATTGAAGAAATTCTTTTAACCAATTATATAATCAAGTTAAGTATTAGAGAGTTAAGTAAACGCTTCAATAGATATCAAATAATAAAGCTCAAGTATTTGTGTTGTAAACTTTGATGAATAATGAAATAGTTTGTATCTTTGTATCAAAGTTTTCAACATATGATCTCTTTTAACAAATAATACAAGTTAAGTATGAAGAGATATTTATACTTCAATATAAGTGTTGGCAAAGAAAACTTCTATCAAGAATGAAGAATATATGAGATTGAGAAAGTTTCTTTACAAAAGGAATTCTTGATAAAAACTTTGATGAATAATTAATAATGAAATAGTTTGTATTTTTGTATCAAAACTTTCAAACAAATGATCTCTCTTAACAAATAATTCAAGTTAAGTATGAAGAGAGATTTACATTTAAATCAAAGTGTTGGCAAAGAAAACTTCTACCAAAGATAAATAATAGGTAAGATTATGAAAAGTTCTTTGCAAAATAATGTTCTTGATAAATTAGATGAAATATGTTTGATTGATCAAGAAACTCTTTGTAATAAATGAAGTAAAATGTAGAATCAAGTAAATTCAATTATTTTCAATAAATAAACTCCTAAATATCTCTTGTAAGTTGTTGAAATTGAATGCAAGAAGAGATGGATATTTATAGAGCAAATGCGGCCCAACCAATCACTTTCCGTTGACCAATTCCGGTTGATCGAAAGTGTTATAGCAGTTGAGAAATCAAACAGTTGGAATTTCGATTGACCAATTATGTATTTTCGGTCGACCGAAAGTTGAATTTTTGTTGACCGAAAGTTGACCTTTTTTTTTTTGGAAATTGCTTTTTATATCAAAATATTCATTTTTCCAAAATCTATTTTATATTATGAATCAAAAGCATTTTTATGCAAGTGATGGATTATGAAAATAATTTGAACTTTATGCACTTGTTAAAGATTGACGAGTTAATACATTTACATATAAATGTATAATGTCTAATCGTCTTGACTTGTCGTTCTTTATACTTGTATCTTGATTTGCGCCTTTTGCGAGTCTTTAAGTTCCAATTCGATCGTCGCATGCAAATCGCTATTGTCTCGTATGATTTGACTTAA